AGTTGGTGTCAAGTGCTTTATCTTCAATCTCACTAATTCTGACTTCCATTGCCTCAAATCTGCTCCTATGACTTTCTATTGAATTGTCTAATTCTGACATTTTATTGTTAATCTTCAGGATTTCTGATTGCTGTCTCTTTATGGATTCTTGAAACCTTTTAAATTTGTCATTATGTTCTTCTCTAATCTTTTTAATTACCTCTGTTGTGTATTTTCATTTTGCTTAATTTCCTTCCTAATCTCTTGTAGAGTTCTGTATGTTAATCTTTTGTATTCTGCCTCTGGTAATTCCAAGAAATTTTCCTCCTCTGGCAAATTTCTAGATTCTTTATTTTGGGAGCTTGCTGAAGCCATCATGGAGTGCCTCTTTATGTGATTTGATATTGATTGTTGTCTCCGAGCCATCAATTAAGTTATTTATTTATTTTATGTTCGCTTACTGTGTCCTAACTTCTTGTTTTGTTTTGATATACCCAAGTAAGCTGCTCATGTGAGCTAGTTTGATTATTGGCAGGTTTGAAGCTCTAATGTCCTGGTACCAGGTGGTTAGATCTGTTACTAGGTATGTGAGCTCATGAGTCCGCCCACTCTTCCTGTATAGGTTCATCTCAGGTACCCAGGTAGATAGCCACCAAGCGTGTGGTGCAGGGTCTCACCTACAGTCCTAGACAGGTATGGGTGATTGGTATAGGCACAGGCATCTGGCTGCAGCAGGGGACACACTCTGAGCAAGGCAGAGGGCTGACGGCCACCCTCGAGTGTCAGGAGGAAGGCGTGTCCCTGTTCCCTAGAGCGCATATGTGGGTGGGTTTTGCAGCTCGACTAATGGCATCCAATGCTGTTGGCTGTAAGGACCCGGGGGGGGACCTCTTATTCTTGGGCCCCATCGCAGGTGGCTAGATGGCATAGGTGGAGCCACCAGACCTCAGGCCGCTGATGTGGGTAGGTTAAGACCCTGCTTAATGGGTAGAGCAGTGTCAAATGTCACAAACCTGCCACTTCACGGCTGAAACAGTTGAAGTTAAACTTCTGGTGTATACCCTGTTGTACTGTGGTAATGAGGGCCTACACTGTTGAAATGGGCCCACACAAGTCTATGCAAGGGAAAAGACACTCAAAGTCCATGGATCCCTTATGCCTGTGCCTAGACAAAGGAGCTGTGCCTACCCTGAGTTCCTGGATTAAGGGAGCCGGCAGTTTATTTTTTCCCATTTGTTAATTTGTTCACTCTCCCAGGCCATGAGAATGGCTCAGGGTGTGTGAGGGATCCTACTTCTGTCCCAGGGGACTCAGCAATTGCTGAAGCCAGTCCGGGAACCAGTGCAGAGCAGGGAGCAGGAAGGTAAATGGGAGAGAGGTTTTTCTCTAAGCAGGTGTTTTTGATCCGCACAGTGGGCCGAACGCAACTACTTATCTTTCACTGATCGAGGGCTGCCTCTCACTGGTTCTGGGTGGCTGAGTAGACTCTCTGCTGCTGGGTCTTTTGTGGTACAGAATACGCCTCTGAAGCATTGCTGCTTGCTTGCCTCACCGCTCACCCCTGAGCTGATCAGGCCTGAAGGGCTCTGGCTCTCTCCAGGTCAGGTCTGGCAACTCCTCGCTGCTTCCGAACTGTCTTTCCCTCCCCCTGCCACTCAGTCCGGTTCCTCAACTTTGCCTTTGATGTTCAGGGCTCCTTGATAGTCATATATAATCAATTCACTTGTTTTTTTAGGTCTTTGTTGTAAGAGGGTCCACCAGAGGCGTCTGACTACGCCGCCATCTTGGCTCTGCCTCCTATATTATTTGATTTCTTGACTGCTGCTTCCATGGGCACTGATTGTTGTTCCAAGTAAAAGAAATCCTTGATAACTTCAGTTTCTTCTCTATTTATCATGATGTTTTTTATTGGCCCAGTTGTGAGGATTTTTTTAATGTTCAGATGTAATCCATACTGGATTTTACCTTCATTAGTAAGTGCTTCAAGTAGTCTTCATTTTCAACGAACAAGGTAGTGTTATCTATATATTGCAGGTTGTTTATGAGTCTTCTTCCAATCCTGACTGTGTGTTATTTTTCATATAGTCCTGCTTCTCAGATTATTTGCTCAGGATACAGATTCAGTAACTAAGGTGAAAGGATACAACAATGCCACACACATTTTCCACCTTTAACCATGCAGTATCCTCTTGCTCTGTTTGAAGGACTGCCTCTTGATCCATGTATAGGTTCCACATGAGCACAATTAAGTGTCCTGGAATTCCCATTCTTCATAATGTTAGCTTACAGGCTTTCAAAATCCATTTGACAGGGTTCTACATTTACTCAAAAATATTACTTTTAAGTATCTAGTGTCTTTCTTTGTCTCTCTGTTAATTCTTATTTTAATTCAGCAGAAAATGCTGTATGTAGCTTGGGTCTTGAGTTTTTGGGGGCTCTGTTGTTGTTGATATGTTCTGTTTTGTTTTCTTAAAAAATTACTTTATTCCCTGGTCAAAATCACAATAAAAAAATGTAGAACACTCCAACAAATGATCTCCTTATGAGTTTTTTAATCACTTCTAATTTTGAGTGATCATCTTGCTGTTTTCCAAATGCAAATATAAATATCCCAAAAGATATATTAATATTCTTTGTGGAATTTTAAGCTTAAATAAGAAAAGTATACTCTATTTCATTAAAGATTCAGACTTGGAAGTTTTGAAGTAAACATGACTAGAGTGCTTTTCTAAATAATCAGTTTCAAACAAGATAAATGTTTTCCTATATGTGTGTGTTTGTATGTATGCATGCACAGACACACCACAAACACACACACATAGAAAAATATCTGTGCATATTTGTATAAGTAGATATTTCTCCATATGTATGTGGGCATTATATAGATAGATACATATCCAAGATGGATAGATACATGTGGGTGTGTGTGTTATATGTATATATCTAGTTAAATACAATACATACATAAATAATAAGAGTGTATATATATGGATGTAAGAGAGAAAGATATATACAAGGGTTAAAGTATTTTGATTTACAGAATCTTGGTATGAGTATAAACCTGTTGCCATCAAATTGATTCCGACTCATAGTGACCCTATAGGACAGAATAGAACTGCCCCATAGGGTTTCCAAGAAGCGGGCTGGTGGATTCAAATTGGCAGCCTTTTGGTTAGCAGATGAGCTCTTAACCACTTTGCCACCAGGGCTCTGGTATGAGTATAGCTACCTTAAAATGACCCAGATTTATGATGGAAGATTTGGCAATAGATATTGATGATGGTTGCACACATGGTTGATATAACTGATGGCACTGAATTGTACATGTGAAAAAAATGTTGACTTGGCAAATGTTATGTTATATATATATATATATTTTTACAACAATAAAAAAAGGCATACAAAGGGAAAAAATTACCCAGATTTGGTAGTTTAGGGTATAAAATATATTTTATCAGAATTCCTCTATATGGTAAATTTTATTTTCCAACATAGTGCTTCTCAGTGAGTATTCAGCACAAGCAGCTTAACCCTGCAGAATTCTAGTAGCTAGACTGCTGCAGTTTTAAACTTGACATGAAATGATTTCTGCCATCCTACTCTATGAAATAATGTGCATACTCAGAATTTCTCTTAAGAAGGAACAAAGGATCCCACTTAAAATATGCTGAAATAAGTATGTCTTTGATTTTACAAGTAAAGAGGAGAACTGTTATATGCTGATCAGTATGTGTTGGACTTTTTAATTCAGATCTTTAAAGAACGAGAAGAAGATCTCAGGCGTTTGTCTCGTCCACTGGAATGTTCTTGTTTCCGAACATCTATCTGGGATGAAACTCTCTATAAGGTGTGTATGTTTTCCTGAGTTCCCTCATTTTAAGAGTGTTAATAAAAAGCTAGAAGGGTATTAACAAAACTTAAAAGATTTTAAACAGCTTCATAGCCATCTAGATTTGTTGAACCAAGAGAGAAATAGTCCACAATAAATTGTTTGAGGACTATCAAACTTAACATTAAGAATTTTGTTTTTATCTTAGATTGGGTAGACGGAGCCACCAAATCACACTGAATTAGCCAGTTTGGCTGTGATTAATTTTATACTGATCTTTGTGACAGCAAAGGTGTCTCTTATTGGCCATCATCCTTTTTGACCTGTTTTAGTCTCAGTGTGATTGGAGCTATGTCTAGTATTCAGGTACTTCTGCAGAATATAAGCTAGTCTAAGTAGTGGTTAAGTGCTATGGCTGCTAACCAAAAGGTCGGCAGTTCGAATTCACCAGGCACTCCTTGAAAACTCTATGGGGCAGTTCTACTCTGTACTATAGGGTAACTATGAGTTGGAATCAAATCGACGGCAAAGGATTTGGTTTGTGTTTTGTTTTTTGTTTACCTAAGTTTGGAGCAGGGTGACAATAAAACAAACATATTTCCAGGAGAGATTGGAGAATGAGGTCTTAGAATGAGGCATGTTATTCATAGAGTATGGTAGCTTCAACTTTCATGCCAAATTGGAGACCAGTATTCTTTCAATCAGATGGATTGTTATCATTTCTAGAATGGATACCACACTGCTTTCAGTAGTTGTAGAGGTTACAACAGTAGCTGTGTTATTCGTGAAACTGAAATTACCCTATTGGCACATAAGCTCCTTTTCTGGCTTCCTCCGTTTCTCCCACTGACTCCTTTTGGTTCCTCCTGTGTTCATACCTTTCTTTCGAACTGCTTCTGGTATCCATTGACAAGTCTGACCCTAGGTAGGAAAGCATCCTTCTCTGTCACTGGTAGCTACAGCCTCAGTATCAACTGCATCTGACAAGTATCTACAGACAGAAGCACAGAAACTTGAATTGCCAAGGAGAAAAACCCCAGTGGACATTGAAATAGCTGTTGATATTTTTTAATATCTAATTCATTTTTTCCCCGATATTATCTTGACCCAGCCTCACTCTAATAACAGATCATTTTGAGATACCTGCCTAGGAAATACTTTTCTAGATTGATATGGGCCGAATTTCTCTCAAAGCCTTATTCCCATAGAACAGGTAACCGTGAATAAGGATGGACATGACGCACTGATAAGAACCAACTGCGGTGTGAAGGATGGCAATATATAACACGACCAAAGACAATTGGCTAATCACAACACTGCTGTGAGTGACAATGTCTCTGCTGTGGTTAGCTTTGGTGCCTTCTCCAAGGTAAATTCAGCAGTGACATTAACACCGACCTGGGAACTTGGAACCTGAACCCCATGCCTAAGTGATAAAACTAATTGGAACACAGATATGACACTGCTATATCTTACATCAATGTTGCATACATCTGACTTAAAATTTTTATATTAAATTTTATTCAACAAGCACTCATTGCATATCTGCTTGATGCTGTTGGAGACACACATGACTAAGACCAGGTTCCTGCCCCGTAATAGGGGAGAGAAGAACAGCATACACATAACCAGACAAATTGGAGTGAGATTGAAGGAACTGTTATAATGGAAATACGAGTAAAAGAACCTTAAGAGAATAGAGGGAGGGTGTGGTTAATTTCAACTCTTTACATTAGTCATACTTCTCTGGATGAAGTCACTTTTAGGCAAACACACGGTGGAACATTTTTAATTCAGTTGCATCAATTATTTATACAGCTGACAATAAAACTTTTGGAATGATACTGCCACTAATTTCTCTTTAAGTGGTATATTTTCCCATTTAGGGGAGGGGCATTTATCCACATGGCTTTGGTATTTTCACAGAATTGATTCTTGGATGTATGTTAAATATAGCATTATTAGGTTCTGATCATTTAGAGTGTTCTGCACTATTAGACTTAAGTATTTGTTGAATGGCTGGATTAGAAACATTTTAGCACAATAGATCAGATTTTTCAACTTTTTTCCTATGGCAACTTCATGGAATTAAATTACTCATTGGAAAGAAGTTTCTCCAGCATTTTACAAAGTGTTTGAACTTCAAAAAAAAATCCAGCTGAAGGATAAAAATCGAATATTAGCTTCATTTTCTGATTTAATTTGTGTTACATCATACTTGCTCTTAGTATTTCTTTGGGACTCGATTATCACCATATTTTGCTGTCCATATGTTATAGTGTATTTATTTGCAAAGATCCAGGACTGGCTACCTATTAGTAACATTACACTGTGCTTCTGTTCTGTTAGGCTTGGTCCAGCATTGTTTATCAGCTGATTCCCAATGTTCAGCAGCTGGAAATGAACCTAAGGAATTTTGCTGAAATTATCGAGGCCGATGAAGTGCTTCTATTTGAGAGAGCTACTTTTCTGGTGAGAACTGTCTGCTCTGCACATGTGCTTCACGCTGTACCTTCTATTCAGCAGTGAAGAACAGTGTGCTGCTACTTTCAAGTAGAACCTTTATTCCTCTTGTCATTACTTTAGCATGCACAGCCTTATTTATAAAATAGTATTCACAAGTGACCTGAAAGAAGTACATTGTGTCTTTGAAAGAAGTACATTGCTTACACTGATGTGTAGCTCTTTAGTAGTTAGTAAAAATTAGATTTTTACAGGTATACCTTATTATAGAGTTTAGATTATTTCTGCTAATAATTGTTCATTTTTGTTGAAGGATTCCTGTTTCCTATTGACTCTCATTATGACATTTTCCATTTGAGGAAACTCATCCCACCCCTTTCTGCAAAAAACTGAGTTGAAAACTTTTAACATGGAAGAGATACAATGGTCAACTCAGTGACAATAGTTAACAGTTCAGAAGGAGAAGTGGAAGGGGAAAAAGGCACATTGATATTTTTATTTTTCTTATAAATTGAACTCAGCAACTATATTAGAGCCTACTGTGTGCATGGTCCTGAGGGAGGAATACAAAAGCTAATATTATATTTATAAATAAAAGTTTTTAATAACAGTAATAGAAACTAATTTGAAATGTCACAAAGCATTTTATAAGTAATTGCCAAATTAGCTTAGTAAATGTAATAAGAGCAGCTCACAGTAAGTAATTTCTATCTGAGCTCTACCAATACTTGGTAACTTTAGACACATTTATTAATCTCCCAGAGCTTGTTTCTCCATCTGTAAGAAGGGGATAATAGTATTTATATCATAGGATTTTTTATGTGTGTGGATTAAAATGGGACAATGTAACATTAAGCGCCTAGCACAAGGCTTGGCATATATTTGGTAAACTATTAAACATTGGTTCCTTTCACTAGTATAGTAACAAAGGGCAAAGAATCCAGAGTGCAGTTTTTTTTCCCCTTCCTTTTGCCATCCAAGCCATCATTCTTGCTAGCTGACACAGCTGAGACAAGGAGTCTTAACTAGAATGTCGTTCTGCCTCAGCCCCTTGACAGGGTTCACCCCCTTGGAATTACGCTTCCCTGAGTCTGTTTTTCCTGCTGGTTTGGGTAGCAACAAGCAAATAAAATATTCTGTCTGTCTTGTTGTAGATGGCATGACAGAATCCTACTTCGCCAGTATTCCCCTGCCACATCCACCACACATAGTCGTAGACGTTAACCTCATATAAGCTAATTCCTCTCTAACAGGAACAGGTTGCTTTTGTTTCTCTTGAAGACCAAGTTTAGGTGTGACTAACCATTTTCACTGAGGGAGATGAAGTCAAGCAAGGGATACCTTTTCTGTCATTGATATTGGAATTATGTTTTGAAAGTTTCATATCATTTCAGGGAATTTCACTTATAATTTTCTTCTGGCTAAGGGTTCAGTTTCACTTCCTACTAGAAACATTACATCTGTATATTCTATTTGTAGGTAATATTTGAGTGATTTTATAAAAATCTGAAAGTGTTAGGGGAATTATTTTTAGCTGATATGGGTGTCCATCATGAACAGGTTTATGAACAGGTTCAATAGTAAATCCTCAGGGGTTGGGTTCCCCTTGTTCAGCTTTTTAAAGATAATAACCGAAAGCTACTTAGTTATCACTTTCATTAAAATTAAATACCTTAACTAAACCTCAAGAACAACTAAGAATAATTTATTTTTCCTTTTTGATTTGTACTTTTTTTATCGAAGAACATCTTGTGAAATATTGAAATAAGATGAACATTTAGTGATTAAAGAAAGAAAGAACAATAGTATATACCAAAATACATACTACTTAAATGATATAATAAATTATACTCAAGCAGTACTGAATGTGTCATTCTTATGGGTGTAGAAATCACGAAAAATGTTTGCAGGGTATGGGACAAAAGAGAAGAGATAGTAAGCCAGGTGCCAAGTCTACCCCAAAAATCAGGGCGACAAAGAGACTGACAGGTGTCTTCTGTGAGGAGGAGTGTTGTTAGGTGCTGTTGAGTTGGTTCCAACTCACAGCGACCCAGTGTATAACAGAACAAAACATTGCTCCATCCAGTGTCATCCTTACAATCGTTGCTATGTTTGAGCCCATTGCTGCAGCCACTGTGTCAGTCCATCTCATTGAGGTTCTTCCTCTTTTTGCTGACCCTCTACTTTACCAAGTATGATGTCCTTCTCCAGGGACTGGTCCCTCCGGATAACATGTTCAAAGTACGTAAGATGAAGTCTCACCATCCTTGCTTCTGAGAGCATTCTGGCTGTACTTCTTTCAAGACAGATTTGTTTGTTCTTCTAGTAGTCCATGGTGTATTCAGTATTCTTCGCCATTCCCATAATTCAAAGGCGTCAGTTCTTCTTTGGTCTTCCTTATAGGTTGCGCAGCTTTCCCATGCACATGAGATGATTGAGAACACCATGGCTTGGGTCAGGCGCACCTAGTCATCAAAGTGACATTTTTGCTTTTTAAGATTTTGAAGAGGTCTTTTGCAGCAGATTTACTGAATGCAGTACATTGTTTGATTTCTTGACTGCTGCTTCCATAGGCATTGATTGTAGATCCGAGTAAAGTGAAATCCTTTACAAGTTCAGTATTTTCTCCGTTTATCATGATGTTGCTTATTGGTCCAGTTGTGAGGATTTTCATTTTCTTTATGTTGAGATATAATCCATACTGAAGGCTGTAGTCTCTGATCTTCATCAGTAAGTGCTTCAAATCCTCTTCACTTTAGGCAAGGAAGTTTCTGTCATCTGCGTATTGCAGGTTTTTAATGAGTTGTCCTCCAATCCTGATGCCACATTGCTCTTCTGTAGTCCAGCTTCTTGGATTATTTGCTCAGCATACAGATTGAATAAGTACGGTGAAAGGATACAACCCTGGCACACACCTTTTCTGATTTTAAACCACGCAGTATCCCCTTGTTCTGTTTGAATGACTGCTGGTCTATGTACAGTTCCTCATGAGCACAGTTAAGTATTCTGGAATTCCCATTCTTTGCAATGTTATCCATAATTTGTTATGATCCACACAGTCAGGTGCCTTTGCATAATCAGTAAACACAGGTAACATCTTTCTGGTATTCTCTGTTTTCAGTCAAGTTCCATCTGACATCAGCAATGATAACCCTTGTTCCACATCCTCTTCTGAATCTGGCTTGAATTTCTGGCAGTTCCCTGTTGATGTATGGCTGCAATCGTTTTTGAATTATCTTCAGCAAAATTTTGCTTTCCTGTGATATTAATGATATTGTTCAACAATTTCTGCCTTGCGTTAGATTACCTTTCTTTGGAATGGGCACGAATATGGATCTCTTCCAGTTGGTTGGCCAGGTAGCTGTCTTCCAGATTTCTTGGCATAGACGAGTGAGTGCTTCCAGGGTTGCATCTGTTTGTTGAAGCATCTCAGCTGGTGTTCCATCAATGCCTGGAGCCTTGTATTTGCCAGTGCCTTCAGTGCAGCTTGAACTTCTTCCTTCAGTACCATCAGTTCTTGATCGTATGCTACCTCCTGAAATGGTTGAACATCGACCAGTTCTTTTTGGTACAATGACTCTGTGTATCCCTTCTATCTTCTTTTGTTGCTTCCTATGTCATTCAATGTTTTGCCCATAGAATCCTTCAAAATTGTAAATCGAGGCTTGAGGTTTTTCTTCAGTTATTTCAGCTTGAGAAATACAAAGTGTATTCTTCCCTTTTGGTTTTCTAACTGCTTGTCTTTGCACAATTCATTATACTACTTCACTTTGTCTTCTCCAGCCATCCTTTGAAATCTTCTGTTCAGCTCTTTTACTTCATCATTTCTTCCATTTGCTTTAGCTGCTGTATGTTCAAGAGCAAGTTTCAGTGTCTCTTCTGACATCCATTCTTGTCCTTTCTTTCCTGTCTTTCTAATGACCTTGGACTTTGACTTGTTTTAATTTTCTTCAGCTTCAACTTGAACTTACATAGGAGCAATTGATGGTCTGTTCTGCTGTTGGCCCCTGGACTTGTTCTGACTAATGATATTGAGCTTCTTCATTGTTTCTTTCCCCAGATGTAGTCAATTTAATTCCTGTGTATTCCATCCGGCGAGATTCATGAGTAGGAGTAGAGGGTGATTTAACTATATTGCATGGATTCAAAGAGTGATATCCTTTTTCTTAGGTGATTTCTCACTATCAGTGTAAAGAACAGCGCGATGCCCACAGATTTGAGAAAATCAGCAACATTATTAAGCAGTTCAAGTTGAGCTGCAGGTAAGATATCTTATAAATGTAATCTGTTTATCTCTGGAAAAAATTGTTTTTGAGGGGTTCAAATAACTGTAGTTGACTGCACTTCTACATTCAGAATAGTTCCTTCAAACAAAAAGAAAACTAAACTCTTAAGGAAGCCTACAATCTACAGAGGTACAAGTCCTTTCCCTTTAATGCAAAATCAACTGATACAGAAGAAGTGTTTAAACAACATCCAAGCAGAGTAACCTTTTGAGATTTTTGATACTGTTTGGAGAGAAAGAAACAGAGTATTCAAACAGTTTTGAAAAGGAGAATTTGTCTTTACCAAATAACAAAATTTAATATAAAACCACAGTAATTAAAATAGTTTTTCAGAAATAGACGGCAGGATCTGTAGTACAGAATAGAGAGTATAGAAAAAAGTCTAATTATATTGTCTCAGCTTTGGTTAAATAAAATTTAAACCTTAGCATTATAAATACAGGAAGAAGAAATGACTGACCATCATAATTTTGTAAAGATTTAATAATAAAAATTCTTATCATGGTAAAATTTGATTCCCAGACAATAAGTATACATTTACTCCCTTTATGCGTTAGCATACTTTGAGACTTTCTGGCGTGTTTTTGCTAACTTTTTTTCAGTTTGAGAAACTTGCTAATAGAAGACAGGAGAGAGGGGAGTATTTCATTCATTTATTTATTTTTTGATCGGGAAGAATTGAACAGGTTTGAGGGCAAAAGGAAAGAGGCCAGAGGCAAGGCAAAGATTAATAGAAAAAGAACAATCAGTGGAAAAGAGAAATGGAATAGAATGAAGTGAGTCTACATGTGGAAAGGTTAGCCTTAAACAGGAAGAAGATTTTTAAAAAGGGGGAGACTGAGCAAAGATACAGAGAAATTTTGAGGTGGCTTATAGGAAAGGCATTGGGCCTCAAGTTTGTGGATTCTGATATCAGAGAAATCTTCTGGGATGTAAGCGGAATGTAAAAAGTCTGACCAGTTTTTATAGGGTATAAGCTAGGGGATTGACAAGTAATGAGACAGAAGATAACTAATTATAAATGAGCCCCAGCTGATATCTGAGGGACAGACAGGGGTGGCGTGGGCAGGGCTGGGGCTGAACAGGTTAGGTATGGGAGATTAGGCTGCCACCAGTGTCAACCTGCTCTGTAAATACAGATTTTATTAGTGGCCTATAGCATAACGACATCAAGGTTAATATGGTGTGAACAATCATATAAATTTGAAGTCCAGTAGAAATGGCAGTTGGATTCCATGTACCTCTGTTCTGTATTTGCAGGTTATTGAGATTGGACTGTAATGTAGCTCTAACATCCTCTGGCCAGGACAGATGTAAACTGAGTAGCCTCAGTTAAGTGGCCCTCCCCACTCTCCATCATCAGAGCCTACAGAATCTCTAGAATTGACTTTGGGTAGGGTGTGGAGGAAAGCTATGAACAGTCTCTCTCTCTCTCTAGCTGGTTATAAATAATTTGAGATATCATTTTTAGGAATCAAAGGGAAACCCTGTTCTGGATAAGATTTAATAAATATCAGTCAGCACACAGAAAAAACGAACATACATAGTTTTTCTTCTTTGATTCTTTTGTGGGCTAGGATCTATATAAAAATCTGTGTTTATATGGAGGCTTAGAGTAGTTACCAGAAACAGTTTGTCGTATTAAATCTATGAGAAGTTAGAAAGACATTGTACAGGGATAATACCAGTTTTGTGGGCCATGTTTTATATAGCTATTAATAGTTGACGAGTATTATGAGGCTCATTTAAGTAGATGATGTACCTTGTGAGGATATATATTTAACTGAAAAAAAATTATAATGGCAAAATCATATGAGCTGGAAGTCAGGAGAGGCTCAGTTGTGGTTCTGGGTTTTCTGGGAACTGAGAGTGGGATCTTAACTCCCTGGGACTTATCTTCCTCACCTATGAAATGATGGGTCAAGGCTCAGAAGACCATTCAGGTCATAACATTCTGTGATTCTAGTCTCAGAAGTAGCAGGTTGGCCAGAATGTCACCAAGGGGGTCATAGAGGCAGTTTGGCTGGTTCGATTTCTAAGTGGTTGCCCTGGAGACCATAATTAATTGTCTTCATAACAATCTAGTTCAGATTAATAGCAACTTAATTTCAATAGCATACACCAGTGAGGTGGTGAAATGAGCACTGAACAGGGAGTCAGAAGACCTGCAGTTTATTTCCAGCTACGCCACTTGCTAACTTTGCTACAGAAGTTCTCTGAACTCTAGTGTGGTAGGTAGACTAATGTCCACGCCCTAATCCCTGGAACCTGTGATATGTTATGTTACATTCAAAAAGAAATTTGCAGGTGGCATTAAGATTATAAACTTTAAGATAGAGAAATTAATCTGGATTATCTGGGTGGGTACAATCTAATCACATGGCTAGAAGAGGAAGGCAGAAAAGTAGGTCACAGCATTCAAGGATGGAAGAAGAGGCAGGGGAGATTTAAATGTGAGAGGGACTTGACCTGCCATTGCTGACTTTCAAGATGGAGAAAAGGGGTCACAAGCCAAAGAATGTGGGTGACCTGTAGAAGCTGGGAATAGCTCTCAGCAGAGAACCAGCAAGGACACCAGGAACTTCATTCTGCAAGCATAAGAAAGTGAATTCTGCCAACAATCTAAATGATCAAGGAAATGGATTCTTTCCTAGAGACTCCAGAAAGGAAGGCAGCCCTGCCAACATCTTGATATAGCCTGAAGAAACCCATGTCAGCCTTCTGACCTATAGAACTATAAGATAATAAATTTGTGTTGTTTAAACCACTACAAAACCTAAAAAGCCCTTGCTGTTGAGTTGATTCCAACTCATAGGGACTGTATAGGACAGAGTAAAACTGTCCCGTTGGGTTTCCAAAGCTGTAATCTTTACAGGAGCAGACTGCTACATCTTTCTCCTGTTAAACCACAAAGTTTGTGGTAATTTTTTATGGAAGCGATAAAAAATTAACACACCTAGTTTATTCATCTATAAAAGAACAGGAATAATAATAATAGTAATTATGGCCTATCTGTGTCTATATAAGGTTGTTGTAAGATCAAAAGAGATGTCAGGTGGTGTTGGTGGGAATGGCTGATAAAGACCTTGAAAAATGTGCTCCTCCATAAAAGCAAAGAGAAACACTGGCAAAAGTTGTCAAAATCAAATTTTTTAGAACTCTTGAAATTAATCAAAGGTTTTCAACAATCTGAGGAGGTTTATTCAAGAAATACAGCTGAATTTTGGTAAGAACAGTGAACTTTGTGGTATTTTAACTTTCTCTATTTCCATCCCTTTCTTCCTAGCTCTGCAGTAGCCTTGAAAACCAAGAATCTCACAATCATGGTCACCGTGAAAATTAGCATCCTAGCACCCACTGGAGGGTGCAGAATGGGGTTTGAGCTCCCCAAAAGTCCCATCCCAGAGAAGTGTCATTATCTGACATATTTGGCAATTCTCTGGAAACTCCACTTGGAGGGATTGTCTTTATTTGACTGTTCATTCACTGTGAACAGTTCCCCCACCCCAGGCATTTGTTGAAAACAATCAGCAGCAATTGTTTAACATTTAAACTGCCTGAGGCAGTGATAACAGTTGGGGCAAAGCAAAACTGAGTGAATTCTTTGCTAGAAGACCTGCTAGCATTTAGAAATACTAAAAGGAGTCTTTCAGGTACATATAAAAGGACACTAGACAGTAACTTGAATCCATATGAATAAATAAAGAGTATGTAATGGTAACTACAAACCAAAAAAAAAACAAACCGGTTGCCATGGAGTTGATTCCAACTCATAGTGACCCTATACTACACGTAAGTAAATAAAAAAGACAGTGTAAATGTATTTTTAATTTACAAGTCTTTTGATTTTGTGCTAACATTTTTAAAAGAAATAGCAAATGACAGGCAAATATGTGACAAAAAATAAAATATAGTAACAAGAAAGTTGTATTTCTTGTCATTTTCTATTCTGTGCTAACATTTTTAAGAAGTAATAGCAAATGACAAGCAAATATAATTTTCTTGTTTGTTTTCAAATAGACAGGATCACTTCTTAAATTTAAATATAACATTGAAAGCATATAGGTATTAACCTCGATAGGAAAAATTCAACTTAAGAAGCTTCTTATATATTGGAGAAATCTTTTATAACATGATTTTTAACATTGATCTAGGTCTACACCCACTTTCATTTCACAGTCAATATCAAGTCCTAATCCAGTTTCTGACACAGTTACTTTCCAAAGCATTTTCAATTCAGTATTAAAGTTTCCTTGGAAATCAAAGTGGGGTTAGTAATTAACCATCTCAATAAAGTGGTGAGTTGAGGTACAATGCTATAAAAATATTTTAACATAAAACATAAGAACTTCTTTTATTGTTATTATTTTACATTCTTTAACTACTTTTCTCCTGTCTTCTATAGCAAGCTAGCTGCTTCTTTCCAGAGCATGGAAGTCAGGAACTCCAATTTTGCTGCTTTCATTGACATCTTTACATCCAACACTTATGTGATGGTCGTGATGTCTGATCCCTCCATTCGTAAGTTTAAACTTAGCTGACATAGGCTCAGATCCACATATTCTTCAAACTAATTGCTCTACAGGTAGTACCTTATTAGTTACTTAAAACCTATTTTAGTACTTGTGGTAAATAGGTTTTTTTAATAGACTTACATTTTGAAGCTTTAAAAGAATTATCTTTAGCCTCTAGGATATTATGTTTTTCTTCCTTGGAACTTCAAAAAGCAAGTTACTAAATCTAGCAATTTTAAAGAAAGGAGAGCCTGAATTCATGATTTATGCTCCATAAGGTGTAGATTTTTTAAAGATTAGTAAATTTAAGCTCTGAACTATTAAATGCTGGGCCATTTTATATGTTGTTGCATATTACTAAGTACCGTACTCCCATATTTGTTTTATGGGTAGGAAGGGAGGTATTTGGTACCTTCATACCATAGCAGCCGTGCTCATCACAGCCACTGAAACAAAGGTTTTAGCATTTCCAGGATGTTCCCAGAAGTTTAAATTATCTCTAATCCACTGGCTTTTCCTACCTTAGGTTAATATTAAAATACAACATAAGATAATGGATTTTGTACTATTTGCCCCAAACCAAAACAATATGTCCCACTTTATTTTGGAAATTTTGTGTTTAGTCAAAACTTATAAGCAAATCTATTTATTCAGAAAAGTTAAACCTTGTTAACTAGGGACCTCCTATTCCTGTATGTTCTCTGTGACATATGTTCAGGGATTTGGCTCTCTTTTGTTTATTTGTTTTTACTATTCAGACATTCCTTTGGCTACCCATACTTATTCTGTTGGGTGTCTTTCCCACCCCTACCCTCAGCTTCTGCAGCTACTCTGATCAACATCCGAAATGCCAGGAAACACTTTGAAAAGCTGGAAAGAGTGGATGGACCAAAGCAGTGTCTTCTTATGCGCTAAACATTGCCAAATGTTTTTTCAGGAAAAAAAAAAGTTGAAATACTGTTTCTTCTTTAATTGATGTTAATGTTGTATTCGTATATTTAGGCTCTGAAATGTGATGCTTGCTATTTCTGTATTTCTTCTCCATGACCCAGTCTTAACATGTAACCTTGATGATACTTACTCAAATAGCCAGTGAGAAGTTAGAAGGTGAGCTGTCCATGGAGTTGGTATAACATAAAAGCAGGTGATATATAAGTGTTTTGATAGCAAGGTTCTAATAATAGTGTGTTTTGATAATCTGGTTCCAATAGTTAGGTATACCAAAGCCTTTCCCAAAATTGTCTTGTATTCCTTATCAGATAGTAACCTGTAAGTTTGGAACATTGATGTTTTTTTCAGCATGCATTAAAAATATTCCTTATCTTCAATTGCAAATAAACTTTTGCTGTTAGGGATTTCAGTGTCTGCTTTTCTTTTCCTTATTTCAACTTTGCCGTACAAAAAAGCAAACGAATTTCACAGTTATTGAAGGTAAAAGAGACCTGCTGGTTGGGAAATAGTACAAAATAAAATTGAATTTAGATGTAATGTGATAGGAAATAAGAAACTATGGTAGGGTTTTGAGCAGGGAAATTTTGTGAAAGCAATTTTGAAAGAAAAGCTAGACTATCTGGGCTGAGTGATGGCAGTCAGGGAGGCTCTAGTAGTAATTGAGGCCTGAAGTGTGTTGAAAGTCTGTTTCAGTTTCAGCTGGAGAAGGAATGAATAAAAAGTTGAGGGAAAATAGGATTTTATGAAAATAAAGTCTTCTTTCTTTGAGGTCCAGGAGTGATTGGTTAATTTTATATATTCCATAACACCTTTATCATGCTAGTCAAGCAGTATTAAACGTTTTTAAACCTGGTATATGTGTTTGACTTCATCCCCTAAGGAAAAGTTGAAGCATTAACAACTGGAAGAAATGGAGCTTGACACCACTAACTAGAATTACTCAAAGCCTTAACATTTCCAGTTTCCATACACAGGATAACAGAACATAAAAACATTTAAGAAATCTACAGCACAGTAAAAAAAAAAAAAAAAAAAAAAAAAACCCACTGTTGTCAAGTTGATTCCAACTCATAGTGACCCATCTAATTTTGCTTGTCTCAATGTCATAAAGAAACTTCATCCAAACCACCAGTCCCTCACCTTTCCCTATCTTATTTTATTATCCCCAGTTGAGGTATAAATAGAGTTTTCATTGAACAGCAAAGAACATGATTTTTAGGTAGCCCAAGGTACGTAGATTAAAAATCTAAAGTCTTAACAGAACCTCATGGGGCTAATTTCATTAATAGCTGTATTAATCTTCTGTAGAAGGAGAGTTTTTAAGTAGATGTTGCAGATTTTTTATCCTATCAGCATCTAGGAAAATGAAAAGAACTAATGAACAAGTGTGTGTTCTCTGTGACTAATGCAATATGAGTCATGATTTGGCACGTTCTCATTATCTGTGTCTGGGATAGCATTTAGAAGGGACTACTTCAAAGTTAAAAGGGAGCCCTGGTAGCACTATGATTTTCTTAGGGAAAAATAGTGAATATCTAGATATAGATATAAACATTAAATTAGATGAGTGTGGAAAAACCATAAAGTTATACCCCCACCCTGTTTGTCCTTGGTTCAGCCCTCGCTAAGATTTTAGTTATAACTTGAACTACTTACAGAATGTGTGAAAGGTTAGAAAAATAAGGTTATGATTTAACTTAATTCTTCTTATGATGATGACCAGGCAATCTTCTCTGGTGACAAAAAAAAATTTTTTTTGAGATATGTGTCCACATATGGAGCCACTTAGAAACTGAAGTAAACACAGGTAGACAGTTATATATGTGAAGACATGCACACAGAAACAGGTGGAGAGAAGGAATCAAAATCAGAGATGTGAAAATTAATGGATTAGTCACACAATGAAGTAATGCTTTTTATAGGCCTTGTTGACTATGTCAGTAGGATAGGCCAGGGCTTTGATCCTGTTCCGTCCAGTTTGAACCCCTGCTGAAAATTTGCATTTCCACCCCAGATATACTGAATCAGAATCTACAGTTTAACACGATCCCCAGGTGATTCTTATGTATAAAAATTTTTGAGACCCACTGCTCTACTAGTGGTTTTCAGAATTGGTCCCTGACCAGCAGCATTAGCATCACCTGGGAATATTTTAGAAATGCAGATTCTCAGCAGGGATTCGAACCTGAACAAAGCAGTTCTCAAACAGTTGTTAGAAGTAATAGTTCTCAAACTTCAGCTTGCATCGGAACCACCTGGAGAGGGCTTGTTAAAACACAGATTAAAACAACAACAACAAAACAGATTGTTGCCCCTCACCCCACAGATTCAGTAGGTCTTGAGTGGGGCCCATGAATTTGTATTTTTAACATGTTCCTAGGTGATGCTGATGCTGATCCGGCTGGTCCAGGAGCCACACTTGAGAACCACTGCTATAAGGAAAAGAAGAGAAAATGTAGATGTGGGAGCAGGAGTGGGAAAATGTATGTTCAGCAGGTTAGCAAGAATAAGTTGAAGGCATTATACCAACTAAGCTATATATGTTTTAGAGCACTGATCCTCAAAGTAGTCTAAAAGTCTGAGAAGCACTATTTGAGACAAAAGCAGTGACTGGGAAGCTTCTGTTTCGTAAGTAACGTGTTGCAAAATGGAAGCCATTGCTAGCATGAGAAGAGTGTTGGTAATGATTTGTGTAGTGACCTAGCTTTTTCTGGTTTCAGCCAGCTTTATTTGCTAACTCAACAGGATATCATGAAAAATTAGGGGAGGTGGGTTGCCCAATGAAAACAATGCTACCTTTAGTTGAGTGTCAGGTTTTAAGTGCTTTATAAAGATCATTTCATTTAACCTTCACAGCAACCCCATGAGGTAAGTACTATCACTATCCCCATTTTTCAGATAGGGAAATTTGGCCCAAAGAGGATAAGAAACATGCCCATAGTTATGCAGTAGTAGTGAAGCTGGGATTTGAATTCAGGTAGTGTAACTCTAGAGCTTGTGCACTTAAAACCTTGAGTTATATGGCCTTCTTGAATTTAAGGGCCTATTCAGGGAGAGTTTGAAGTACCCCAGGCTCTTAACAACTACACCACCAAGGATTCCAACCAATTAAATAGATACATAACTATATGAGGAGAGATGAGTGCAATGAAAATTAACACAGTGATGGGAGAGTGGTTGTGGTAGACAGAATAAGGCCCCGCCAGAGATGTCTACATCCTAATCCCCAGAACCAGTGAATGTGTTACGTTGAATGGCAAGGGGGA